GGTAACGATCGTTTCAAAGAACGAAAATTTTTTACTCTTTTTAACAAATACTCACCAACTTTTTTAAAATGCATCGAGCAATCATCTTCTTAACTTTCCAAAAACCGATCACATTCCAAAAAAAGAAAAAAGAAGAAAGAATCATGGCGCGAAAAATATCATTTCTCAAAATATCTATCCTTTTCGATCATCTCATCTCATCGACTCGACTTGGAACTTTCTTCTCGCTTGGCTCCCGAGATCATCCCGGTGGCAAGAGGAAAAATGTGGATGGAAGGAAGGGAACAGCGAGATGATGGAGAGGAACACACGCACGCACAGAGGAGACGGATGCACCTGTAACTCGCGGCTCGATCTCGATATTGAGAACTCGCCTTTAATGACAGCCACTCGTAATGCAGGATCACTCGTCCTTGCAACCTGGCCAGGATCCTCGCCCCTCGCGCCGCGTGTTGCGCCAGTCTCTCTCTTTCCCTCCTCTGTTGCGTGTTCACCTGTGCTCTCGACTGCGTACAATTCCTCATAACTCGAGCGCCTTACTGTTAATTATCACACTGGATCGAACGTAGATTCGAGTTCGATACGTTGAAAAAGTAAGAAGTTGTTTTTCTTCGGGCTTGGGACGAAGTTTAACGTAACATTTCTAAATCAGATAACAGCATTTTGAAAGATTCGAAAGTAATTTTGTTACTCTTCATGGATCTGAAAAAGTGGTTTTCCTTGGATTTTCAACGTTACGTTTGAAATTGAAGGGAACAGGTTTTTGAGGGTCTTGGATAATGGATTCAAAATTCTTTGGAATCTCGGATTCAAAATTTGAATAGAAGGATTTTCGTATCTCTAAAAGTAATCGGAATTTTAGAAACCCACAAGTGTTTCTTTCTATTTGTAAAGATATGATGTATGAACATTATAATGCGATATTCTTTATTTTTAGATTAATAAAAAAAAACATAATAAAAAAAAAATTGCATAACTATTGTATAAATTCGCATTAAATTTCATTAGGATTACGTTATCGAGTTTTATCATCGATGGATGTAAAATAAAACGTGTATTTTTGTTAAAGGCAAAAAAAAAAAAAAAAAAAAAAAAAAAAA